AGTCTAACTATTTTCTTCTACCAGCAAATATAATTTTATCATTTTTATTAAAATGATAATTATATTCGCTTACAAAAGAAAATATTTATTGCAATATAGAATCTTTGTTACTTGAGACTTTGTTTCTGGTAAACAAGAATTATTGACAAAATATATTAGTTATTCTAGAAACTTCTCGATGTAAATTTATAACAATTATTGAATGGTTTCTGGTAGGTAAGAATTATTATAACAAAATGTATTAATCTCCAATTCTTTCTTCTTTTCTGAAAGTAATTTCTTGTGAATAAGCATTAAGTATAGTTCGTTTAAGTGATTTTAATTATTCTTGTCCTTTAAAATTTAGAAGGCCACGACCTTCCTATCCCTCTTGGTTACTCTTTATAAGCTTTACTATGCTTCACTAAATTTATAAGAGAGCATTTACTTTAGAATTTATAAATTCCACAATGCTTTTTCAGATCATGGGACTGTAGGAGTTGTTGTACCTGTGGATGACAGTGTTGACCAACTTATAGCAGGTTCAGGAAAAGATATTATTCTTGTTACATGGGACGGAGACAGCAATAAATCTAAGGTACCAGTCAAAGTGTTGTGTTCGGTCGATTCTCCTCAGGCTCAAACGAGAATTAATGATGGAAAAGTAGACTCGGCTGGAAGATTTTGGCTCGGTAAACTAAAAATATCACAAATAATAGAAATGCAATTTATTTGCTTACGCCTAATATATATTTTTCATAGGTACTATGGGTAACGAAGTCAATGGAAAGATAGCTCCCAATTTAGGAACATTATATCACGTTGATGATGCTCTTGAGCCAAAAAAGGAAATATCACCTGTTTCAATAAGTAATGGATTGGCATGGAATATAGAAGACAACACTTTCTATTATATTGACTCACCTACTTATCAGGTTGCAGCGTATGATTACAATCCGAATAATGGGACAATATGTAAGATATTAGATTTTCTATTTAAAATTATGTTATAAACAAATTTGCAAAAGTATATATCATATTTAACCGAAAATTACATCAACCATGAAACATAAAATTTACAAGTAGAATTTATTATTTATTTATGTTTGTTTATAATTTATGTTTTAGCTAATAAGAGGATTGTATTTGATCTCAATAAGACTGATTTGAAAGGATTACCTGATGGAATGACTATAGATACAGATGGCAATCTTTGGATAGCATTATTTGGTGGATCTCGAGTAAGTATACAAAGTAATAAATTATTATTTAAAAAATTAATTTATAGATTTATTTAATGTAACAATATACGT